TTCAGGGCCTCCTCGTGGCACATGTAACCCTTGTGTGGGTTATTCTGTCTTATGTTACACTCTTTTACTTTCTAGTATGTGGGGCTTTTTATCTGGTATTCTATTTTTTATGTAAATATCCTGGAAGTCCAAATAACAAGATGTCATTAGGAAGTTATGTAAATTTTTCCTAAATATATTAATAGATTTATAAAGAGTTGTTTGATGGCTCATGATGATTATTCGTGAAATAAATAATTAAATCTTAAGATAATGCATTTAAGTAATTTTTAGCTACCTAATGTTTCAAACAAATGAAAAAGTATAGAAGACAGTAGAACAGACACCCATTTACCCTTCCCTCAGATATCATAAAGAATAACCCTTTGTGATATGAACTTTAGATTTATTTAAAGTAAGTAAAGTGTTACAGATCTAGCTAAGGTTATACATAATTGATTGCTCTCCCTTTTCCTCCCCCTTCACTTCCTTATCTGATTGATAACCATTATCCTGATGTTACTTGTTATCCTTATACATATTTTTATTCTTTTATATAATATTTTAACACTATATAATTTTGTGTATTTTTAAAATGTACATAAATATGGCACGTTGAACCTGTCATATGCTATTTTGTAAATTATTGTTTTCATAATTGTACAAAGTAGATGTATTCATTTTCCTAATGAAAGACAATTAGAGTGCTTTTTTTGTCTATTATGAATACAAACAGTACTAGAGTGAGCGGTCTTATAAATATCTTTCTGGGTAGTGTGTATTTTTCTAGGGTAGACTCCTAGAAGAGGAATTGCTGGGTCATGTAGACTGGTATACAGAATCTTTACTAGGCATTTCCAAATTGCTGTCCATATACTTCCAACATGCTGCATAAGTAGACTTTTAAGCCTTTTGATGATATGATGAATGTGAAAGTGTCTTTCAAAAATTATTCCTTCAAAAATTTTCACTGTTTCCTTCATTTGAATGTTAGGGATAGCTTATAGGTCCCTTGAAAAATCCTGCGATTACATTTTCCTGATTAAGAATATGTTTTTGGCCTTGAGTGTTTCTTTTTCTGTAAATATCCTATTCATGTCCTTTGCCCATTTTCCCATTGTTTTGGTGTTTTTACTGTGTAGGAGTACTTCTTCTTTATTTTAGACCTTTTCATTTTGTGTTTGGTGACTTAATAGAATTTTTTAAAAAGTTAATAGATTTATAGATTTATATTTTTTGTGTTGCTTTTCCTATCTTGTTCAGTAAATCATTCTCTGCCTTGATGTCATTAAGCTGTACTTCCATGTTTCCTTCTAAAAGTTTAAAGTTTGCTTTTCACAGTTAATTCCCTTATCTAGATTCAATTTGGGGCCTCTGTGTGAGATTCAGGCCTAAGTCTCTTTTTTTTTAACATGGGTACCTGATTGTCTCACCATGGTTTATTGAATATGGCAATTAATTTTTTTTTTTTTTGCTTATTTATAATCCTATCTCTGACCTATACCAAGCCCTTTATGTATTTTCTTTTGTCATGTTCTTTTAAAGTTTTCTTGACCATTTTTGGGGGGGTTATCTTTCTTTTGATTTGTAGAAGTTTTTTATGTATACTGGATTTGAGTCTTTGAGAAATATATAATACATATAATCTTCTATTCTGTAGCTTTTCATTTCCTTAATGGCATCTTTTGGTGAATAGCATTTGATTTTAATATACTTCATTTTTTTTTTAAGATTTTATTTATTTATTTGACAGAGAGAGAGCACAAGCAGGGGGAGCGACTGGCAGAGGGAGAGGGAGAAGCAGGCTCCCCACTGAGCAGGGAGCCCGATGCAGGGCTCCATCCCAGGGCCCTGCGATCATGACCTGAGCCGAAGGCAGACACTTAACTGACTGAGCCACCTAGGCACCCAATGTACTTCCATTTTATTTTTTTATTTTATTTTTTATTTTATTTTTTTTAAAGATTTCATTTATTTATTCATGAGAGAGAGAGAGGGGCAGAGGGAGAAGCAGGCTCCCAAGGAGCAGGGAGCCCGATGCGGGACTCGATCCCAAGACCCTGGGATCATGACCTGAGCCGAAGGCAGACGCTTAACCATCTGAGCCACCCAGGCGCCCAAGTGTACTTCCATTTTTAAATCTCCTTTTATAGTTAATGATCGATGATCTGTTAAAGAAATCTTTCTCTACCCCAAGGTCATATATTATTGTCCAGTAATCCTGTTTTTTTATCTGTCAAAGCTATAATCTACCTGGAATTGATTTTTGTTTATGATGTAAGTTAGGGGTCAGGATTTCTTATTTTTCTATATAGACATCCTTTTGACCAAACACCATTATTCAAAAGGCCATCCTTTGTCTACTGTGCTACAGTGTCAGCTTTGTCATAAGGCAAGTAACTGTATACACATCAATCTGTTTCTGTGCTTTTTTCTTAAAGATTTTTATTTATTTGTGAGAGAGAGAGTGTGAACAGAGGGAGGAGCAGAGGGAGAGGGACAAGCAGACTCAGCGCTGAGCGCAGAGCGCTACGCACAGGGCTCGATCTCACGACCGGAGATCATGACCTGAGCTGAAACCAAGAGTCAGATGCTCAACGGACTGAGCTGCCTAGGCGCCCCAGTCTGTTTCTGTTTTATTCCACTGTGGGTCTTTGTGCCAGAACCATAGTAGTTTATTTATTACAGCATTATAATATTGAGCCTTTCAGTCCATGAACATCATATGTTCTTTCACTTAATTAGGTGTTCTTTAATTTCTTTCAAAAATATTTTGTAGTTTGCTGTGTAGAGGTCTTGCTCATTTCGTTAGATTTATTCCTAGGTATTTGATTTCTTTTGATACTTTGGTAAATTGTACCATTAAATTTTCTATTTTCAGTTACTAATTGCTAAAATCTAGAAATAAAGTTGACTTTTGAATACTGACCTTCTATCCAAAGATCTTGCTTAATTAATTTATTGATTATAATAATTTTTATAGCCTTCTTTAAATTTTCTGGGAACATAATCATGACATGTAGGAATAATGACAGATGTATTATTTTCTTTCCAATGATTGTACCTTTTATTTCCTTTTCATGCCTTTTTTTTTTTTTAATGAGTAGATACTGAATTTTATCAAATGTTTTCTCTGTGTCTTTGGAGATCATCTGATTTGTCTTCTTTATTCTCTTAATGTGGTGAATTACACTGACTGGCCTTTGAATATTAAACCCACCTTATACTCAAAAATTCTAAATGTTATGTAGCTTTGGATTGGTTGATTAATATTCTAAGGAGTTTTACGTATACATTTATGGATGAAATTGGCCTGTAATTTTTCTTTCTTGTAATGTTCTTGTCAGGTTTTTGCTGTCAGGATTCAGTTGGATTTTTTAAATGTTTTGGTGAGAGTTGCCCTTGTTCTGTTTGTAGAAGAGTTTTCATAAGATAAGTGCTATTTCTTATATATTTGCAAGAATCAGTGGAGAAATTATCTGGGTTTGGAGTTTTTCTTACAGTAGGGCTTTTAATTACAGATGTAATTTCTTTAATAGATACAGGATTATTCAGATTATCTATTTCTTGTATCATTTTTGCCAATTTTAAAAAAGCTGTTCATTTTATTTAAATTTTTGAAATATTTGGTTAGGTCACATATTCGGTTGTTTACAATAGGTTTATTATTTTTAAATCTCTGTAGGAGAATTAATTTTATTTTATCATTTTTATCATTCTATTCATGCGAAGTTTCTTTCTTTGCTTTCACTGTGCTAAGCTCTTTCTGTTCCAAGAAACATAGATTCACTCAAGTTCCTTCAAGTAATGGAGACATATGATGCTCATTTTAAAGCTACCTGCCATAAGAGAAAGGAATCACAGGGAGAGCAAATCTCTAGTACAGCTTGGCTTTAGTGAGACTGGAAATGTCTGGTTAATTTAGGATATAAGGCAACTTTAGAGATAGAAATGGTTTTCTTTTTATCCCCTCAATAGTAAGACTTTACAGTATTTTAACTCCGAGACCCTCAGTGGCATGAAGTTTCTCACCCCTCTGGACTCTCCTCTGCTTTTCCTTCCTTTTCATTGCTAACTCCTCCTTTTACTCCCTGTTCTATGTAATTTTTCTTCATACCTTTTGTTTCCTCATAACTTCTTATTCATGGTCCCCAGTGCTTTGTGGCTTTGTTCTGTGTTCCTCCAGATTGAATCAGTGCATGGTACTCAGTTTAAACTCCCAAGAGATTATTTGATTAGTTTCAGAAGCCCTCTTATGTGAGGCCACCTCTAGGGCTGTTGGTAAGTTACAGTGGCCACTCTTGACCAGGCAGGTATTGCCCAGTGTGGTGGGTTCACAGAGCACATGGATGCCTCGGGCTCACTCCTCTGCAGAGGGCTACAGCTGGACAGTTTCCCTTAGGATGAGTCTATAGGTGGCAAGTACTGTAATTGGTTAATAGAGGCAAGTTCTAGAAATTAAATTAGTACAGGTGTTTGAGCTTTTCTGCCTCCTTTCTATGCTCTGGTGAAATGCCAGTGAACAATGCTGATAAAGCTGATATCTAGAATTTGGTACTATAAACCTCTTTAGTAGTCATCCATCTATCACTGAGACAATTGTGCTACCAACCCACATTAGGGCCTTGAGCAATTAGCTATATAATGTGTATAGTTTTAGGATGGATAAATGGAAATTGATAGATTTTAAATGTAAGCATATAAAAAACACACACAGAGGCAGATTAATGAATATTTAATGAGAAAGCCATAGTAGTTATCTCATTTACTTGCTCCGTTTGTTTCCTTTTTCATATGCAGAAATAATCCTGTGCGTTGCTCAGAATTCACTGTTCTGCAGTTACACAGTTCAGGTTGAAGACAAGGAGGTCCTCCTTACCTTTGTGATACTTAATTGGTAACATATTTAAATACCAGAAAGCCATCTTTTGCCTAATGCATTCCCATTTATGGACTAAATTATAGATATTACATAAAAGCCCTTTGGGTACAATAAGTGAAATTGCTTTTTAATTTTCTAGGGGGATTCAGAGAGAGTAATGATAATCACTGGACCAAACATGGGTGGAAAGAGCTCCTACATAAAACAAGTTGCATTGATTACTATCATGGCTCAGATGGGCTCCTACATTCCTGCGGAGGAAGCAACAATTGGAATCGTGGATGGCATTTTCACGAGGTAAAAACATTAGTTCTATTTGAATATATTTCTGAAAATAAAGCAAGCCCACATTGTCACATGAACTTTCTGTGTACGTATTTAGATGAATAGATTTGCTCTTAAAATATTTAAAGCTTAGGAGCGTAAAGAAATCATTTCATCATGAATATTAATATCAGAAGAGACCAAGGAGAGCATTTTGTCCAGTTATTTTCAAGTTATTTTTAGTTACTGAGTTCTTTAACAATCTTACATAAAAGATGAATATTTAAACATAAAAGCAGATCTGCTCTGCCTGAGTCAGAGTGGAAGGCTTGCAGACTTGCCTGGATAGACTCTGCGGAGAACAGTCTGGAAATCAGTCCACTCTCCTTGTTTTATAGGTGGGGGACTGAGAACAGACTGAAAAGGACCCTGGCCCAAGATAATTTAATTTATATTCTTTTTTTTTTTTACTCTAAGAACACTACCTACAACCAACTAGGTCTTACCCTTAATTTATAAACCCAAATTGCATGTCATATTAGGAATACGGGTGAAGTACCTGGTCTCACTAATAGAAAAATCGTAGTTTAATCTGTTTATTCAGATTTATCAGTTCTTAAAGTATTATATTTCTTGCATGTACATTTTTGGAAAAATCAAATATAGTCTATATGTGTGTAGTCAAGCTTTGTGTATAAGTGTTTGATTTATTGTCTAGCTGCATATTTATATGATACTTGACTTTGGAATTACATCAGAATATATCACATGTTGATATTGATGCACCTGAGTAGACACTAAAATACTTTACCTTAAGAGGTTGGTTTTTAGTCTGAGAGAGAGCAAAGCAAAGAGACTTAAATTCTTTTTGATGCCATATCACAAACAGATGTTATTTTGATCTACGTATATTTGTAGATCAACTCAGTTTAAGAAATTTAAGGAATCTGTCTTTACTTTTTAAATTGTCATTAATTTTCTATTTTGTAAAAAAAAAATATGTGTGTATGTATATGTGTGTGTGTATATATATATATTTTTTATTTTGGTTACATTATTAGGGAGAGTGACAGAAATTTAACAAAGAGAAAAAAGATTAAAAGGGGAAGAGAAAAATAAAAAGAAAGAAAAAGACTTCTTGGGCAAAGTAAGGTGATTTGTCTGAAAGAGAATCTTGTTAGTGAGCAGAATGTCAGTTACAGATGTTTTTAGTTACAAGTAATAGAAAAGAAAATAAGAGTTTACTTTTCTCATACAGTGAGAAGGCTTGGGGTGGGCTGCTGCTTCTGCTGCTTCAGTGGTTCTGCAGTTTTGTTGGCCTTTTCCTCATAGTTGCAGGATAGTTGCTGTGATTCCAGACATTACATCACATGAGGAAAAAGGAAGACAGAATGCCACAGTTCCCCCCAACACACACACTTTCCCTCCAGCCCCAGGAAATCAGTACCTTTTCAGAAGCCTCCCAGAAAACTTCCACTTATATTTCATTAACCAGACCTACGTCTCATGGCTGTAATTGCAAGCGAAACAGAAAGTAAGAATTTGCTTTTGTCCAGCTTTCCTCATGGAGTTAGGCAAGTGTTTGGAAATGGATTCAAAGGTAATCAGAAAATAGTTTTTGCCTAGAAAAAAGGAATTCGGTGATAATAATAAAAACAGCTAAACTTTATTATAATAATAACATATTTAAAATAGTAGTGTAACAAATATTTTTAGCAATGTATAGGGACTGCCCTATGCCCTCTATATTAAATACTTTATATAAAGTACATTCCACGATAGCAAGTATAAGCCTTCTGAAAAAGGACAAACCACTTTTGGGTATTTATTCATTTTCATTTATTCATTCATCCAACATATACTAACTTAGCATCTAACATATGACAGGCACTGGGACTACAATGCAACCATAGTTTCTGTTCTGGTAAAACTTACCTGGTGGAGAAGATCAGCATTAACCAAAAAAATTGTAAAAAAAAAAAAAGTGAAATTGCAGCTGTGACAAGTCTACAAAGGCTATGTACAAGATGCCGTGATAGCCTGTGAGACTGGGGTATGATCTGGACAGGGCAAGGCTTCCCTTAGCAAGTGATTCTTGAGGCTTGTCTGAAGGGTGAGCTAACTTATCAAAGGAAGAAAGAGCATTTCAGACAGAGGAAGCATGTGTGCAGAGGCCCTTAGCATTTTTTAAAAAATCGTAGTTAAGGGACTGAAGAATGATTCTGTATGGGAGCATTATTCTATATGAAGCTGAAGAATAGGTAGGGGCAAGTTACACAGAATGTAGAGTGTTAGGAGTTTATCCTAAGCCGAGGGAAACCATTAAAGGGTTTTAAGCAAAGCTTGGCATGATCACATCTACCTTGACTACAATGCAGGGAATGTTTGGAGAAAGGACACAGTAGTACCCTTATCATTAGTGGTCTTAGAGGTATCAGTAGTTTGGATGAGGTTTGTGGTGTTAGAGTGGAAAGGAATCGCATTTGAAAGGTGTTCAGGAAGTAAATCAACAGGACTTGGTGATAGAAGGGAGATGCAGCTGAGATAAATGGAGTTGTCAGAGATGACAGTGGTTTGTGCATCTGGTTGGACAATGCTGGCATTTACTGGAAGAGGGTTATTTTCTTTTTTCCATAGATCCTGACTTTATTTTTATATGTAGTAAGTAGAAATACTCTGAGACATTTGAGGGGAGCTGTCATATAGACAGTTGTGTATAGAGTCCAGAGGGAGAGATGAAAGGTAATGATACAAATTTGCTGTGAGACATTTTTGTATAAGTGGTAAGTTAGGTCTTGGGTGTGGGTGAGATCATCTCAGCAGAGAGTATAGTAGAGAAAATAGCGTTCTAAGACTGAGCCTTAAGAATGCCAACATGTCATCAATGAGTAAGATGATAAGCTAGAAAAACTGACGGGGACAAAAACCAGGATGTGACATGGTCAGGGGAAAACTCCTCCAAGGAGAAAGGAAGTGGCCAGCAGCCCAGAGCAGTCAGGTGAAATGAAGCCTGAAAAGTCAACTTTGATCTTGACAAAATGGTGGTCATTAGTGACATTAGCAAGAACTGTTTTTTTTTTTTTTAAAAGATTGATTTATTTGTTTTAGAGAGCATGAGTGGCAGGGACAGAGGGAGAGAGAATCTCAAGCAGGGCTCAGTCTTATGACCCTGAGATCATGACATGAGCCAAAACCAATTGTATGATGCCCAACCAACTGCGCCACCCAGGCACCCCAGGAAGAGCAGTTTTGGTGGAGTGGTGGGACCATACTCCAGTTAAAGACAGTAAAGGAGTGAGTGAGAGCTCAAGAAATAGAGTGTCCAGGTGTCACCAGGCAGCTTGGCTGGGAGGGGGAGGTGAGAGATCCAGTGAGGGACTTGTTTTGTTTGTTTTTGAATGGCAGACTTGAACATGTTTTAGTGGAATATCCAGGGGTATATGTTATACCCATAAATTTATGATTTAAAAAATGCATTGATTACCTTGGAGGATATTAGAGTAAGTTAATAATGATATTTACAACAAAAAAATCATTAATCAGTTTGGAGAATGAAAATTGAAAAATAAAGAGAATATCAAGCAGCTATTCTCTTTCCACACAGATGATGAGAGGAAGTTTCTCATTATAGAAGTAGCCCAGCTGATAAGCAAAGAAGGAACGATAGAATTAGAGCATCACTCTTTTTTGCAACCCCTCCAAGGGTGGAGTTTTTCCAGAGAAGTGAATGAAAAAGCAGAGGGAGTTTAAGAGTTAGCAAGTGGGGGCGCCTGGGTGGCTCAAGTTGGTTAAGCGTCTGCCTTCGGCTCAGGTCATTATCTCAGGGTCCTGGGATCGAGTCCCACATGAGGCTGCTTCTCCCTCTCCCTCTGCCACTCCCCCTGTCAAATAAATAAATAAAATCTTTAAATCTAAAAAAAAAAACCAAAACAAACAGTTGGCAAAGGTATGTTGGGAATAATGGACCATGGAACGTCAACAAAGAAGAGGGCCCAGGGGTAAGCACCGTGGTAGGTGGGCTAGAGTCCTGAGAGCTTTGAACAGCAGTTGTAGAGGTGCTGCGTGAGCCAGAGTGGGCAGCTTTTGAGGTGAGACAGTTCATGTCTCTGATGAAGTCCCAGATGTGTCCCCGGTGCTGGACGGCTGAGGTAGAACAGAGGAGGAGAGGTGGCTAAGAGGAGATCTGGGATTATCTAGATGGTGTTGGCTGGTTTAGCTACATGGACCCACAGTGCTACCAGAAGAGTTGGCAGGGCTCTTGAGGCAGAGAAGAAAATAGACACCAAATGTTAACAACTTTGATGAATGAGGGGTTGTGATTTGAAGTTGAATAGCTAACAACATGGACAAAGGGAAGATGTTATGGTCAAATGGTATAACCTCAAAGGAGCTAGTTTTATTACCAGAAGGTAGAGCCTAGAAATAAGAGTGGTGAGCAGGAGGATCCTTGCGGTATCGCGGGAGGCGAGGAAATGAATAGCTGATTTTGAAGAGGGTTGCAGGGGAGGGACTGGAGAGGAATGGGAGGGAGTACCCATGTGGAGAAGAGAGCAAGGACGCAGGAGAGTTGGCTGGCCATTTGGCAGTATTCCACGGTGTCCAGTGTCCGGCTTTGGGAGGTGAGTGAGGTGGAGAGTTGGATAAAACCTGGCAAGTGTAGAGCAATTTGGACTTGATGTTGGCTCCAAGAACCACAGAGGAGGACACACAGTGTTCTGACTGATGAAAACATGGGAAGGACAAGGGTGGGGCCTGGGACGAGTCTCACCAAGCTTGGACAGTGGTGGGTCTACAGCTGTAGGTACCACACACCACAGCCTAACTGGGCTGGCTGGTTGTGGCCCTGAAACTTGAGACACATACTGTGTCACCTGGACTCAGACGCTCCTCAGTCAGGCAGGAAAGAAACAGGTAAAATATGTGTGTGTGATTGCATTGTCCCCAACGGATATTGCTGAACGCACTCTTTGACCACTGATGCATTTTTTTCCTGCTTCAGGTCTAATCCTGGCACCCATTACTTACTACATATT